GAGACGGAGTGGGGAGCAGAACAGGCGGATCGACTAAGTACACTGCTGAGGGGAGCAGCAGGTGGTCAGGAGAGGTCTGCTGGGCCCTGTGGGTCAGCTCCCTGGCCAGGGATTGAACTCACACTCAAGCAGCTACGGCCAGCTTCAGTGCTGTGTCCTCACCTGTTGTGCCACCAGCGAGGGCTTCTTCTCGTTCTTTGAAAAGTCTATCTTACTTGGTGATGTGTGTGACGTTAGCACTGCATGTTCTACTTAGATGTGGGCTTAAATCACGCCTTTATGCACGCTTCTGCGCACTCAGAGGTGGGCCCCCGAGGCATCCAGAGCCGCTGGCTCCTGCCCTGGCAGCTGAGACCCATGGCTGCACTGCCCCCGACCCGGATGCCCTCACAGAAGAACTCCTGAAAGTGGAGACTCTTCCCAGGGTCTGCCACCCCGGGGGCTGCTTCCAGAAGGATGGGCGGAGCCCGCACGCACAGCTGGTGACAGGCTGTGGAGGAGTGGGTCTCCCCAGGCCTCACTGTTCTAATAGAGTCTACAGACTTCTTTAGCGGTGGATGCCGAAGAGGACTTCCCCTTTCCGGGTGTCTCAGGGTCACGGTGAGCCCCTGCAGGCCAAACCAGAAAGTTCAGCACGGCTCTGTGTAGTTTTCTGACCTCACCCCACACTGCTGCCACCAGGAAAGAGGCCAGGGCGGCACGTGCGCAGATTCCCAGTGGTGTCTCGAGGCCAGACTCAGGGTCTGATGAAGACCCCCTGGGGGGCTCCGGCCGCACCTCCACTGCTCCACCTCGTACCCAACTGGGGCCTCAAGTCTGGAGCTGGAAGGGGGCAATTTACCCAACCAATGCGCTGGTTTTCACCTCACCTTTTTTTTAAACTGAAATATATTTTAAGAGGAAACTTTAAATCACTGTGCGACCCTTCAGCCCAGCAATGCCACTCGCTGAATTCTATCTCCAACGAGATGAAAAGCACACATGAGGGTGTTCACTCAGTAGCGCCTGGAATTGCAAAACGCTGGAAACTACCTAGCTGTCCAGGCGCAAGAGGCAGACACGGGCATGTGCTCTGACTGCCGCAGGGCGACCGCTGGAGACGCTGCTAAGTGACAAGGAGAGCCAAGGGCCTCGGACACGGGGTGTCCGCAAGGAGACAACACACACACATCTGCTGCTTTTCGTAAAAGGAAACACAGGGAGCGTTTTCCAGAACAAAGATCCGGTTTTCCACAAGAGGTGGCGGAATGGGATGGAAGGGCGACAAGGGGAAGGGACACTTCTTTGAACACAGCTTTGTGCTTAGCTTTGAGTTTGTTAATCTTCCACTTTCAAAACTAGAAATCAAATCAACCAGAATGGGAAAGAAGACTCCTGGGCTGTGTGGGGAGGGGCTGAGATTTATTTCCAATGGACACAAATCCTCTGCGTGCAGGGGAGCAGAGGGAGGGAGGACAGCTCATCCCTGCGGCGAGTGCGCACGTCGCCTGGCTCTAGACTCTCGGGGGCGCAGGTGAAGCAGTGGGTTGAGGTGGGGGCGTAACCCACCTGGACTCCCGGAAAACAATCCCAAAAGTATTACAGGCCAGAGCAAGAAGAGGCAAACGAATCCTGAATGGGGGGGGGGGGGGGACAAGCAAGATTGGTTAAATATGTGTAAATAGATACACATGTGCGCATGTGCATGTGTCCAGCATAAATGTGCACTCTGCATGTTCACGTGCATCTATTTCCTAGTTCTGGCCACTAAGAGTGATAAAGCAAGAAACCCTCGTAGCAAAGAGCACACGTCGTGCCCAGATCCGGGCGCTGATAGTGGCTGCCCACATGGAGGAACTGGGGTTTTTCCAAGCAATGCCTACTTCCAGGAGTGGGCGGGCTGGGTCAGAACCTTTCATGCCCTAGTGTAAGGACTGCTTGGAGAAATGATGGGGGCTCATCCCGAGGGCTAGCAGCCACCTGGAAAGGTTCTCCATGGCCAAATCTGGCACAATTTAACATCCGATTAGTTAAATATGGTAAAGAAATACAAACCACCAAAAACTGAACCCATGAGTTTATGGCAAGACTGGATACAGAAACAAAGGGGAGGGGGGGACCTGGCTACAGTGAGTGCCGAGGGCTGCCCTTGAAACTTGGGGGTGCACTGCCCCCACAAGTTAGCATTCTGCCTCCACCCTGGTCAAGACTGGGTGAGCAAGAATCGTCACGAAGTTCAAGTCTAAGCGCACTTCTAAGGACGCGTTGCTGTCACCCCGTGGACTGCTGACTAGTCACAAAGAAAAGAGAAAGTAAATATACAGTGGAGAAAGCGGGCAATTCCTATATCAGGTGGCTAAGAAGGCCCTCACCTATGAGGGACAGAGGGCATCACATGCCTCCAGAGGCAAGCTCACATGTGACGTCTTTCAGCCAAGACTACATAACCTCAATCTAAGCAGAGAAACAGCGAAGGCAGAATGGGGAACACTTTATTAAGATGGGGGGTGGGGGAGATACCAATGGGGGTGGGGAATGGCCAGGTGATGTGTCACTGCTGTGAATGAGAAAGGCAGGCTGTGGGGTGTCCCAGAGTCAAGGAGGCTAAAGAGAAGTGACAAATGTACTGCCTGACCCCAGAATGGACTTTG